CTGACTCCCTGCCATCATCACCACCGCCAGGGATGAGGCCCAGGCTTGCGGGCGGAGTGAGGGGTGCCCCGGGTTGCCAACTCGGCTCTCAGGTGAGTCGTCCTCGGGGTACTTTCACCCCTCTCCCTCGAGGCCACCCCAGCTCTGCCCTCAGCAGGCCCTGCTTGGTCTTCAGCCCAGGGAGCTGGGGAGATTTCTACAACCTTCCAGGGCCCCTCAGCCCAGTGCTTACAGAGTCCGTGCAAAGCTTGAGCACCGAGATAAGGCGACCCCGTTGGGTGCGGAGTGCACAGTGTCTGGGAGACATCATCTCACTGAGTCTCCCCACAGCCACGGGCAGAGGGCCATCTCAGGAGTGGTTTTGGCTGTAAGCAGGAGAAAAACTGACTCACGACGTCTTAGCATAGGCGTTTGATTAACTCACTGAACAAGAGGTCTGGAGGTCAGGTTTCCAGGGCTGGGGCTTCAGAGGCCCTGTCCGGGGTTCTGCAGCTTCCCTGCCTCAGGACATGACCGCACCCCCATATGATGGCCCCAATGAAGAAGATGAGGCAAAGAGGGAGGGAGATGCTTTCCAGCAGCTCCTGAAGGGTGCTCAGACCAGTGGGGGCTCGTTCCTGGCCAAGGGGTGGGGCCACATCCCTGACACCTGCTCTGCAGATTCCTGAACCGATCAGGTGTTGTTGGAGAAGGAAGAACCAGGGGCAGCCACATTCTTTCCCCTTCTCAAGGAGGGTTTTGTGGTGGGGAGAGGTAGGAAGAGGGTATCGGCTGGGATTCAGGCTGAGGCCATGCGGCTCGGGTCTGAAGCCAGAGGTTGGGATTAGAAGAGCTGACAACCTCTGGGCAGTTGTGTTGTGCCGGGCTCTGTGCTGAACAATCTGTTTTGTCATCATTTAATTAACCCCTGTGAGGAAGGACCCGGTCTTCCCATTTTACAGAGGAGGAAACTAAGATGGGGTCCTGAGGTCACAGATGTTGGGAGAGGCTGAACTGGAGTGCGTGAGAAGGCCAGTAGTGAGTGCCTAATTTCCACAAATGCTGGCTGTCAGGCACTGAGGGGGTGTTGCCTGGATTAGGCCACTGCTCCTGCCCTGAGGCCATGAGGTCACCTCCCCTCTCCGCTGAGGTGGGGCTGCCGCCTACACAGCTGGAGTGGACGGTCCCAGGCCAGTAGCTGGGTCTTGGCTGTGAACACCTCTGCCAGAAGACAGCCTGAGCTCCTCAAATCTGGCAAAAACCACCCACGCCCATCATGCAGGCTTCTGGGGACCATTGGCTTCATGGGCTGACAAGTTGCTGGGTAAATAAAGAGGTTCCAGAGACTCATTTCATCACTTGCTATTCTGGATCCCTGAGGCCATGTGAAGAGGCCACCTGAGGTCCATCCCACTGCCCTGACCACTGAGATTAAGTAGGCAATTTATAAATTCAATTTGTAAAATGATAGCAGGCACTGTGGAGTACTGAAGCTAAGTTAGATAGAAATTAATGTACAGGGCCTGGCTTTAGCTCAGTGGTGCCACTGCCTGCCTCACACGTGCAAGGTCCCGAGTTTGATCCCTGGTACCCCCCAAAAAAGAAAGAAATTAATATACAGTCAGAGAGCAACTGGGCCCTCAAGGAAGTCAGCACAAAAATGAAGGCATCAACATCTTGGCTGCAGGCACGAGATGGAGACCCACAGGCAGACCGCAAAGCTCCCTAAAGGGTAAACAGCAATTTGGGATTAGACTAAGGAGCAGTGCCCCATCCGTGAGTCAAGTCCAGATAGGCATCTGTCCCTGGAACACCTGGACCTACCCCTTCCCATAAATGCCCGTGTTCTTTCCCATGCCCCTGCCGTGTGACGAAGCTCCCTACTGAATCAGTATTAGCTAAGAGGCGATATTTGTGCCCCTCAGGTTGATTGTAGTCTGACCCACATTGCTCTCACGCTGTGACTTTGCTGTATAAATTATCCTGACAAAGGGTCTCACTTCCTCCTTTGGCTCCTGACCTCACTCTGATGTTGTGAGACCATAAACTCAGCACATATGACATCTAACAGGTCAGGAGATACACTTTTCCTGTATCATTGACCCGAGAGGTTCAATGGGCAGTTTACAGACCGAATCTCTACTACATTGGCAGGAGGTGTGGCTGACACTGTCACCTTCCCCTAACAGCAGGAGAGGCACATCCCCCAGGGAGGAGCGTCTGGGCAGAGGGGCACCTCTGGGGAGGGGCAGGGTCCTGGGAGCTGGGGCAGAGAGGGTGCGGAGGACACCAAGTCAGGGGGGAAGGGGCCAGCAGGTCGTGCTGGTCAGGCCGTGCTTTGAGGGAGGAGCCACGGCAGGCTGGAGCACGGGCAGTGCCGGTTCTGATAAGGTTCTGGACGGAGCCTTCTGACTTCGGTGGGAGACTGGACTGAGGGAGAGGAGGGCAGGCTCCCAGAGGCCAGGGCACCGCAGGAAGAGGGCAGGGAGTCTGCTGGACGGGAGGGTGAGGTGTAGGACCACTGGGCGCCAGACCTCCTGGGTCCAGGTCCTGTTCAGGCCCCTGATTCACACAACTTACCTGCCCCAGGGCCCCACAGTTTGCAATTCCCTTCTGCGGACAAGCTCACCGGGGCCTGAGGACAGCTCCCTGCGTCAAGCACAGCTCAGAGCCTAGCTGTTCCAAGAAGGAGCTGGACTCAGAGGTCAAGCCACCTTCCCGAGGCTTCCCAGATGTAAATGGGGAAGGGGACAGGGGCCCCTGGGCTGTCTCCATCCCCAGGGAGGTCCTTACAGAGCCTTGGGAATAGGGCCCCGGCACCTTAAGCGGTCGGGCCATCGGGGTCCACACCCTGTGCCCCAGGCGTCCCGAGCGCGCGCGGCTCCCAAGGAGCTGGACTCAGAGGTCAAGCCACCTTCCCGAGGCTTCCCAGATGTAAATGGGGAAGGGGACAGGGGCCCCTGGGCTGTCTCCATCCCCAGGGAGGTCCTTACAGAGCCTTGGGAATAGGGCCCCGGCACCTTAAGCGGTCGGGCCATCGGGGTCCACACCCTGTGCCCCAGGCGTCCCGAGCGCGCGCGGCTCCCGGCTCCCT